ATTATTTGTCATCTTATTCATTTCATCATCATCATTATTTCTATTATTATTATTGTTATTATTATTGTTATTGTTATTGTCATCACCATTATCTCACCACCATGGTCATCAACCTGATCATCACCATCCCCAGGATGACAGCAGCCTAACAATAACGAAGGTTGAGAAGTTGGACGAAGGCAGGTACGCTTGCTTCGCGAGGAACCAGGCGGGGAACAGAACCAGTCAGGCAGCCTCACTTTTCGTTGTTGGTCAGTACCTCTCTCTCTGTGTGCGTGTGTGCGTGTGGTGGGTTTTTATAGATATTCGTGCATCTTTTATAAAAACTTCAATGGTTTTTATTTCATTTTTATCTTCAACAAATGATCATCTTTATCCTGACCGTCTCATTCATCATCGTCATCATCATCATCACCACCACTATAATAACCACCATCATCATCATCACCACCACTATAATAACCACCATCATCATCATCAACACCACTATAATAACCACCATTATCATCATGACTGTCACCAGACCCATATTGATTTCCGTTCATGAAAATGTTGAGCATTTGTTATATTAGTATGTAATATATATATATATATATTATATATATATAATATATTATATATATATATATATTATATATATATATATATATATCGGTACATGTGCAATGACTTATTCATTTCCTTAGCGATGATATCGCGAATTGAAATATAGCAATATAGTAATCCATCATCATTATCATCTCTTCTTCTTCTTTTTTAGCGTCATCATCATCATCATCGTCGTTATCTAGATTTTTTCAAGTTGTAATGTAATGATGGAATCAATGAATGGCGGCATGGATGAATAAGAAACAAGTTGATGGATTGATTGGTGGGTGAATGAATGAATGAATAAATGAATGAATGAATGATAGAGTACATGAAAGAACAAACGAAAGAGCTAACTAACAAACGAATGATGATATATTGTTATGATTAATGATCTTCATCAGGCAAATAATTTTTTAAAATATTATTCTTTGAAGATTTTTTTCATTTAGTAACATAAATTACTCTTTCTCTCTCCCTCTTTCATTTTCTCTCTCTCTCTCTCTCTCTCTCATTCTTGCTTAATTTAAAATGAATATATATTTTATTCAATCATCTCATATTTATAATATTAAATTGCTATCACTATCAACAAGCAACCGTTCATCATCATCATTATCATTGCCACCATCATCATCATCACCACCACCATCATCATCACCATCTGTATGTATTTGATGTACAAATATTTATTTGATGTACACACACTCATAAAAAAGTCTCAATTTGTATATATATATAAATACATACATACATACATAGCTACATAAATACATTAATATAATTTATGTCAAATACAAACAGACATGCAATAGAGCCATAATATTTTTGTTTCACACATTCACTTGATGTTTCTGTGTATGCACATGCACCAGCCAGAGGGGGTAAACAACGGCCCATGAGATTGTCAGCCACATATTACGACCATTTAAAAGGTCGCCAGCCACACTTTACGACAAAAAAAGTCGAAAAAATTTGCTATTTAAAAATAAATATGCGGCCCTTCAAAGGTCAAATAGTTTTCAATGCGGCCCTTCAAAGGTCAAATAGTTCTCAATGCGGCCATCAAAGCAAAAAGTTGGCCCAGCCCTGCTTTATATATAATAGTTATTCTTTAAAATAGCACCAATGCCTTATAAAACTTTATTACCGAGTAAAATTAAAAATATTATTTCAAATAAAACAAGACATAAAATGAATTAAACTCACAAAAATGTGATTTCGAATTTATTTCAAATTTTCCTTCAATTATTTAAATAAAAAAAACATTTGAAACGATTTAACAAAAAAAGACAAAGAAATAAGCAAGGACACGCAATGGTTCAGCTTTACTAACAATTTGCTCACATTATCACTATAATCTTTAAGAGCATATTCACCGTTTTTACTGAAAACATTATCGCGAGTATCGGTTGCGAGTACGCTGAAGTCGGTGCTTAAATAAATTTATAATAAAAAGTGAAAATTAGATAAAATAGCTTAAATGAAAAAGCGCCAATCATGAACGGCATGTTTGTATTTGTTTGTATCATGTTTGTATCATGTTTCTATCATGTTTGTTTATTGTATTGTATGCGTATTGGGTGCGCGCGCACAAAACAAAAACTATCACTAAACATGAAAAGGAGGGGATACAAAGTTACCTACCTATTTATTGTCAATTATTTTTTTCTAAACTTTAATTTAATTCCAGCCATGGCTTGCCTGTGTTCAAGTAACTCAGATCTCACCTTCCTACGTTCAACTAACTCAATCCCTAGCTTACCTGTCGCTTGTTAACACAGCTCATTTTACACTCTATATTTGCGATTTTATATTACCAAAGCAGGCAAAATTAAAAAGAATAGACAAATTACAAAAATATAACAGCTAATGCATGCTTGCGTGTATATGTGTATGTGGGATTGTATGTATGTACTTATGTATGTATGTTTTTAACTTGAGTATGTGTTTGTATTTTGTGTATGCGCTTGAATTATTATAGAACTTTCTAAATAAAAAAATTAAAAAATTTGAAAAAACGCATCTCACTTGAACGGCATTTAGTGAGAAGCCCCCTCGCCACGTCAAGGCAGCCGTTCAAGAGGGGGTTAATAATAAGTGCACGCGTCTCAAATTAGTTATATAAATAATCCTATCTACCTATTCAGGTGCATTAGCTAATAACGTCTAAGCCTCAACTTACCTATTCATTACAATTAAGCTCTAGCTTACCTAAAATTACAAAACTCAAGAGCCCAATTCATTCGCCAATCGGCCCCACCCCACCACCTACATAATGCCTTGGGCTCCAACTTAGTAATAATAATATAAAACTTAAATCCTAAATCTATTAATGAGTTGTGTGTGTACAACGTAGCCTTAACTTACCTATTCATTACATTACGGTCCTAGCTTACCTAAAATTACAAAACTCAAGAGCCCAATTCATTCGCCAATCGGCCCCACCCCACCACCTACATAATGCCTTGGGCTCCAACCTAATAATAATAATGTAAAACTTAATAATTAACCTACTTATATATACACTTACAACGCTTAATTTACATTACAAGACTGTTCCTAGAATTACATTATTGCCCTTAACTACCTATGAAATTAAATTACTCAACCTTAGTAATAATAAATTAGAATGTGTAATGAAAATAAAATTACGCTCAAATACTAACATATGTGTTTATGTATGTACTTGTGTGTGTGTGTGTAATAACGCTGATGCGTGTAATGTGGGTGCAAGAAAAAATAGAAGCGATAAACTTACGCGCCTACCTATCCAACTACATTAGTGTTGGATGCTTCCTATCTATCCTACCTACAATTAAAATTACGCCTATCTAACTTACCTATATAGCTACCTAATGTAATGTGTGTGTTTGAGTAGTTGTGCTAAATGACGCATCTTAAATAAATAAAAATAAAAATGGTAAAATAGAAAGAAAGACTAAAAAGTAGAAAGTAAGACCTGTAGGAATAAAAATATATTCAACACTCTATAAATAAAAATCCCACTAAAACCAGGAACCACCGCGTACCTGCTGAATGTAATGTATGTTGTGAAACAAAGCAAAAAACACAAAACGAAAAACACACCACTAGTTAGAGTAAAAGAATAGAAGCCCCTAACCTACCTATGTAATTAAATTACCTTATGCCCTACCTATATAATAAAGCTCACCTACCTATGTTTCATTAACTTAACTAAGGCTCATGAAGAAAGAGAAAAAGGAGAAAAATAGAACATAAAATATTACCACACAAACAAACATGATGTATGTATGTATGTATGAGCAACCGCTAAAGAACCCACCTAAATTTTTAAAAATACAACATACAAACCACATACATACAAACTCTATATAGCCGCACCACTCTATATAACTCTATATAACCGCGCAAACTCTATATAACTCTATATAACCGCGCAAACTCTATATAACCGCGCAAACTCTATATAACCGCGCAAACTCTATATAACCGCGCAAACTCTATATAACTCTATATAACCGCGCAAACTCTATATAACTCTATATAACTCTATATAACCGCGCAAACTCTATATAACTCTATATAACCGCGCAAACTCTATATAACTCTATATAACCGCGCAAACTCTATATAGTAAAATAAATAAAGATAATAAAAATATAAATATAAAATAAAAAAATGAGACCAGGCGCTAAGACAATGGGTACAAAGCGCCTGATCTGATTTCAACGCATTTTCGGATCCTATTTATACCAGTTCCATTCATATATTCTTATCATTTCAATCATTGACATCATTAAAAAACTTTATTTAATGTATATGAATTATTATTATAGATGCTTAACAACAATATATTAACTATACTAAAATGAATTCAACGACCGCCTACGGACTTCCTGATGGGATGGTTTGAGAACGTGTGCAGGTTTATCTAGTTGAACTCCAATGTAATCGAGATCACACATTTTTCACTAAAACATTGAAAATATGTATTTCTTTTACTTCATTTCTTTTATATATTATACCCAATCATTCACACCAGCAAAAAGTTTATTGGCTTAATGTTATTGACTTTTGATTTGTCTAATGCACATCCTTGACAACAGAGCTACTCATATTAAATTGACGTCGACTAACAGATTCTAGATCTATATGTACATATTTATTATATAACTTTATTATAAAACCGATAATAATCAGTGTTACATATTATTTTATAGAAATCGAATATAATGTTTATATCGGCTAAGTCAGTATCGTACATTTCAACATATTTTACTATTAAAATGACGTCATTTCCGCCACAAACATTTCGCACCAAGGTGTTAATCCTATTTTCATAAGTCTTTTGTCATTGTTTAGAGGGATTATCATTTTATTAAACTCCAAAAAAATTTGTTAGGTTGATAATTTAAAAAGTTGTCAACAAAAAAAATTTGTATCCGGTTGGAACGCATACGTTCAACACTGAAGTTATAGTTTGAATGATTAACTAAAAATAAATACAAAAAGGATGGTGTTAGCAGTCCTTCTTATAAACATAACTTGTTGAAACGATACCGTCATTAATGTTATTTTTTTATTCAAATCCGAATTAAAAATAAATTCATCAAGTTTAATATGTTTCATAATCATGGTGATAATCATAATCATGTTTCATAATAAACTTAAATTGAAGCAACTAATCGCTTGAATACTGCTTTGAAATAAAAACCAAAATCTGCTATATAGAATTTGTTTAATATTAAAACTGTGAATTGTGCCAGTTGTACCGAAACATTCGAGCGCCATTTCAGCGGTTGGTTGTTGATAGCAGTGGTGAAATTTTATTTTACTATTACGTTGATTTTGTCGGCAGATGGGATTGTGACTAAGTTAGGAGGCGACGGAAACATGGTTGTATGTGGATGGAAAATTGAATGAACGGACGAACGAACGAACGAATGAATAAATAAATGAATGAATGAATGAATGGATGAATGGATAGATGGATGGATGGATGGATCGAGGGGTAGTTCTCTATGTGGCCCTCACAGCAAAAAGTTTCCCCACCTCTGACATACATGCATCACACAAATATTTATACTCAAAGGCTTATTTGATGTATATGTACGTATAACATATACAGAAACTACAAAATATAGGCATACATTTTGTATACAGTTTCTTTATGAGAATTCTTCTCAGGAACGATTATTTATTGTTCTACCAATGATATGTATTATCAAAAAGCCTTATTAGTTGAATGAATTTTATTTTCATGTATACGTGTGTGTGTGTGCGCGTGTGTGTATGTGTATGTTCGCATTTGCGTGTGTGCAGTCAGTAATTTATTTAATTACTTTTTATATTAATTTATTTTTGTTCAAATTATTTGAATCTTTGTTCTTTTGTTCGTTTGTTGTTAACATTTGGTAAGTGTTTGTATTTTTGTATGTACGTATGCGAGTATGCTTGATTGTATGCGTGCCTGTGCCTGTATGGTTTTATGTTTAAAAAATTATTAATTTTTCAAATTACACATTCTATGGCATCTTTACTTCTATTTATTTATTTTTTTCAATTATTTATTGTTTGTTCGTTTTTTCTTTCGCTCATTCCTTTATTTGTTTGTTTGCGTACCAATGTTATCGTTGTTCGTGCCCATGTTTACATGTGTGTGTGTGTGTGTGTGTGTGTGTGTGTGTGCGTGTGTTTGTGTGTGTGTGGACAGGTTTTTTTTACAATCGTGAACCGTTGCGTTGCAGTTTGTATGTGAAGATGTTGTTGTTGTAGTTGTAGAAGCTTGATGTTGTTGATGGTTTTGTTCATTATTCTGTGGTGTTTCATCTTTACAACCAGCTTGTGTTGTTGATCGTTTGTTTGTTTTTTAATATGGCTTTTTAGTTTGATGGATTTTGGTTTATTTTCGTAGTTCGTTGTTCATTTTATTGATGTTTGACTCGTTTGTTCTTGCTATCTCTTTTGGTGTTTAATTATTTTTTGTTGTTTGCTTGACGCTTGATGATGTTTTGGTTGTTGTTTATTTGTGTGTTCATCTTTCTTGCAGCTGATGTTCGTTTGTTTGTTTGTTGATGCTTGTTGATTGTTGTTGTTAGTCTTCAAATTGCCTCCATCTATTTTATTTATCCTTCAAACTTATCTTTCTGACATTTAAATTTTCTTGTTCGAAGTCGGTATGAGATGAGGTTGTTGTTGTCGTCGGTTGTGATGATGATGATGATGATGTAATAACATTGTTTTTATTATTATTATTATTATTATTATTATTATTAGCAGTAATAGTAACAGTAATAGTAGTAGTAGTAGCAGTAGTAGTAGTAGTAGTAGCAGTAGTAGTAGTAGTAGCTTGTTTAAAGTGGTTTGTGGAATGATTTACAATGGGAATGACCGTCCTTATTACTTGCTTTCATAAACATCCATCTAGTTCACATATTGTTGGATCTGTGTGCTTCGGTTTTATGTACGTGTGTTTGTGTGTGTGTGTTTGTGTGTGAGAGAGAGAGAGAGAGAGAGAGAGAAAGAGAGTATGTTCATCCAGCCATCTGTCATCTTTCTCTCCATCTGTCCATTTAGACACGTACATCCAAATATTAAATAATCAAACTTGCTTGTATGAATTTTGGCTTGTTTGCAATTTAAAGTATGCGATAATTCTGCAAGAACTTCAAAGTTTGTTTGTGTTGGTGGTGTGTGTGTCTATGTTGACAATGTTCATGTTCATGTTCATGTAACTTTATATTATCAGCTGCAATTCTTAAAATTTTAACTTCAACAACACCAACAACATCATCAACAACAACAACATCAACATCATCATCAACAACAACAGCAATATCAACAACAAATTAATTAGTACCAGCATTATCTTACCGACCCGACATTCATTACTTTCATTTCGCATTACAAAAATTAATTCATTTACCGACATATCGAATGTCATCGTCATCATCGTCATCATCGCATGACGTCATAGAGGAGGTCATATCAGGGTCAAATAATTATTGGCCCTTGTCATTTTAATCTTGTTTGTCGTTGATGATGATGATGACGATGATGATGATGAAGATGATGATGATGAGGATGGTAATAAAATGAATAAATTTTATTTTCAAGTGTTATTTTTTATTATAAGCAATACTTACACTGGGGTGATCTGGCTATCATATTGCTCGAGTGCTTTTGAGGAAATGTTTCACATGCATTTTGTCTCAGTTGATCGTTCAGCTTCAACATCTGGTCTGCCAAATATAACCTCTCCTTTAACAAAGCATAAAAACAGTGCAATCTACAATCCATGTTGTTCAATTGCTTTTATTTTTTACCACCATCACCACCATCATCATCATCATCAGAGAGACCACGAATTTTGACGGAACCTCAAAATGTTGACGTGAAAGAAGGTGATGAAGCCATCTTTGTTTGTCACGTGACTGGGGACCCTCTGCCGGAAGTTGTCTGGTTGATGCCGGAAATGTGCAGCAATCATTCCAACAGGTTCGTTTTCGATCGTGCAGCTGATGATGATGACGATGACGATGACGATGACAATGATGATGATGACAGCTAAACAGCCAGCCAATCATAAAGCCGATGAGACATCGTCACCAGCTCAAACATTCCTTAAGAAAAAAGCTGACAAGTGTACATAGGCAGATTGCTAGGAGAAATTTCATATTTTAATTTCATATCCATGATTAAATGAAAATTGTGATGAAATTGAATAAACAAACCAACAAACATGCATGCATACATACATACATGCATGCATCCATAACTACTGACAAACATTTTATGGTCAGTTTAACGACCTTTCCATGTGATCATGTTATGTATTGCTTCCAACAGCTGCAACGAACCGCAAGTACACACACACACACACACACACACACTCACATAAATACGTACACACACAGACACATGCATACATTCATTTATACAAATATTTACAAGCACATTTATGTCCATCCGTGTTAACTCACAAACTAACTGAATCGCAATTGCACAAATACACACGCAAGTTCATGTATCAAACAAAGATTAAATGATAATAAGAAAATACAAACATAAAACCATACATGCAACATTTTCACACACACACACACACACACACACACTTATATATATATATATATATATATATATATATACATACATACATACTTCCACATGGGCACTTATAAAAAGTCATAATCTACATTTATACTGGACCATATTGGTCAGTTTATTATGATGTCATTGCTGATGTTTTCTTTAGTGTTGTTGTTTATTAGAACGATATTTTACTAAATCGACCACATGCAAGCATACACAAACACACACAAACATACATAAACATCTATAAACATGTACAAACATACACAAATGCATACAAACACAATGAGTGCAATTGTACGTACGTGCACATGCACAGATACATGCATACACATATGTATTATCAGAAGAGATAATATGAGTTGGATGATGATGGAATAAAATGTTTACCGCAAACCCGGGCTATCAAATTGTCTGCATTTGATGTTTCTGCATGTGTGTCGTTTGTACGTATAAGCAACAGATAACATAAACAACATACAAACAATATACAAACACACATACAACAAACATGCAACAAACATACAAGCAAACTTGAAGCGACATACAAGCGGCATACAAACAAACAACCATACAACATAGAAACTCACAAAGCGGTTCATTTTTTATGCTGTTCGGGCTGTTGATTCCGGTTGATGTAGATGATGTCGTCATCTTCATCTTCATCCTCATCACAAATAATGAAAAACCTCTCTAATCATACATTTTTTGTCAGGTTTATTCCGGAAGTTATTAGCGATGATTTTATCCTTATTGTTTTCATGTCTTCTTCTACTTCCACCACCACCACAGATTTCAGACGACTCCAGAAAACAGCCTACGACTGATGAGCGTGAATACATGTGACGCTGGCAGGTACACGTGTAGAGCATCTAATAGGGCTGGCACGGTGCAAAGTTCGGCTGCACTTAACGTACTCTGTGAGAGTTGCATTATTGCTCGGTTCATTGTCTCAATTGTTCGCCCAATAACTCTTTCATATTTATTTGTCACTATTATTAATTGTTAACTTTTAATAATTTTTAATAATCAGTTATTTGTGCAAAGTTTAATTTGTGTTTTGAGGTCAACAAGCAACACACACACATACACATGTAAAATTTTTGCCTACTTGCCTATAAAATCAATTTGTATCACATGATATTCGCACGCTGTTCATGTTCGTGTGGCGTCCTATTTGCATGCATCGCTTTACACTTCATCTGCCAGCACAACCCTCCTTCCTGTTGGTCCCTGAAGATCGTGAGGTTGGTGAGGGCAGAGAGGTTCACTTTTCATGTCAGGTCACCGGAAATCCAATGCCCGTGGTCACGTGGGTGGTCGGATCGAAACAGGTTGGTTGATTGGTTGGCTGGCTGGCTGGCTGGCTGGCTGGTTTGTTGGTTGGCTGGCTGACTGGCTGGTTTGTTGGTTGATTGGCTGGTTGAAATTGAAAGTTTATTTGCAATGGACGGACATTTGATAACACTTTCGATCGAACCACAACTGCACCGAATTGCAGATCTACCCGGGAACAGGTCGGAACAGCACTTACGAAGTCCTCCAAGACGGAAGTCTGGTCGTCCGATCTGCCAGCCAGCAAGATTCAGGAAACATCGTCTGTCAAGCCATCAGTATCACTGGCACTGCTATGGTCACTGCTAAATTAAAAGTTAAAGGTGGGACGATAATGATGATGGTGATGATGATGGTGATGACGATTATGACGACGATGATGGTGTTGACGACATTGATGACCTACCAACCACAAACAGTCCGAGAAGACAAAACCCCACCCATCTTAACCACCCTGCCTCAAAGTCAAGTTCTTCCTGTTGGTGGAACTGCCTTCATCTACTGCTCAGCATCATCGTCATCATCATCGTCATCAGCATCGTCATCAGCATCAGCAGCAGCAGCAGCAAATGCTGCAACGACACTGAGGTGGTTCAAGAACGGGCGGGTGATCGTCGCTGATGCTGTTAATGATGGCAGGATCACCATTGATGAGGCCGGCACGCTGCAAATTGAAGGTAGGTGCGTGTGTGTCTGTCTGTGTGTCTGTCTGTATGTGTGCGTGCGTGCGTGTCTGTGTGTGTGTGTGTGTGCGTGTGTGCGTGCTCACGTCTTCACGTTAACTTTTTCGTTTGTTTTTTTTAGTTAGCAAGACTTAATTTTTGTTCCGTGTTTCGTCGAATAGAATGCTGACCTGATAAATAAAAAATAAGAACAGATGAATGAGAGATGGAAAAAATATGTGAGTAACAAATGAAAAGATGAATAGATGTATGAACAACTTGGAAATATTTATGAACAAGTGAACGAACGAACAAACCAAATATATGAATGAATGAATTTTTTTATTCAATTAGTGGATGGAGAAAGAATTTATTGCCATGTTCATATTTGCGCAATCGCGCGACATTTAGAAGGTTGTTCGTTGGTGTGTGAGTGTGTGAGTCTGCATGCCTGCCTGTGTGTGTGTGTGTGTATGTGTGTGTGTGTGTGCATGTGTGTGATGTTTGTGAACGTTGCCCAGCAGCCAAAATGTTCGAAAGTACTCGTACACGCCAGTGCACAACCAACCATTTCCGCTATCATTACCATCTTAGTTAGTTGTCGTTTTGAGTGCATGTGTGAATGAATGCATGGATGAATGAATAAGTGAATGAATAAATTAATGCGAAAATGACAGAAAATTTTCTAATTGATAGCCCGAGGGTGCGTTAAAATGCAAGCGCACTTTCAAGCTTTAATTGTGCGTACACTAATGTGTGTAGTGCACTTATCCGTGCGTACGTGTGTTTGTTTGTATTCGTGTCTGTGTGTGTATGTATGTGTCTGTGTGTATATGTGTGTCTGTGTGTGTGTGTATGTGTGTGTGTAAGGCCGCTTGTGAAAGTTCTCGTACTGTTATCATTAGGTTATTAATCATCTTAGCAATCAAAAAATGTTCTTGCACTATTCATAATAAGAAATAATTTTATTCCAATAATGAAAATAATTATTTTTTTTATGCAATAACGTTCATTCATTCATTCATTCATTCATTCATTCATTCATTCATTCATTCATTCATTCATTCATTCATTCATTCATTCATTCATTCATTCATTCATTCATTCATTCGTTCGTTCGTTCGTTCGTTCGTTCATTCATCCATTCATCCATTCATTCAATAAATGCATCCATCAATCAATCAATCATTATGAATGGCTGGCCTCCTGTAACAGAAACACACGCTAGCATCATCCGCTCATCCGTTTACAAATTTAGTTGTTCAAATCATTCATTCATCCATCCATTAATTAATTCATGCATTCATTCCTTCATGCATTCATTCATTTTTTTATTTTTTCGTTTATCCGTTTCAATGTTTTCTTCCCCATCATCACGAACACGCACAAAAACATGCAAACATTGTCGAGTTATGTTAAAATGCATTAAAAACTTACATAAATAAATGAAATGTTTGGTTGGCTGGTTGGTTGGTTGTTTGGTTGGTTCGTTGATTGGTCGGATGGATGATTGATTGATCAGTTCGTGATTTCCTTAAAAGAAGTGAAATTGTAAAATTATCAGCTCAAAGACAGTTTATTCGAGTATACAAAAATACACAAATATATTGAAATATGCATTTATTGGCAGAAATACGTAGCGTACAATACACACACACGTACGTTCATACATACACACATACATACATACATACATACATACATACATACATACATACATACATACATACATACATACATACATACATACATACATACATACATACATACATACATACGTACGTACGTACGTACGTACATACATACATACGTACATACATACATACGTACATACATACATACGTACATACATACATACGTACATACATACATACGTACATACATACATACGTACATACATACATACGTACATACGTACATACATACATACGTACATACATACATACATACATACATACATACATACATACATACATACATACATACATACATACATACATACGTACATACGTACATACGTACATACGTACATACATACATACGTACATACATACATACGTACAGAAAACTTATAAAAAAAATTTCAGGAAATAAATTCAACAAATGTTGGGGACGTATGTCATGCTGCTGCTGCTGATGATGATGATGATGACGGTGATGACGATGATGATGATAATGTTGATGATGACGAAGATGCACGGGTTGGATGTATTTGATGTGTTGATCCAGCGATAAATCATTCCAAACGTCATCTATTAGGGTCGTTGTCATCACGATCATCATCATCATCACCATCAGCGACATCATCATCAGTGGCATCATCACCACAACCACCGCCGCAGATTTGAAGCAGTCGGACACGGCCTCGTACACGTGTCGGGCTTCGAACCTCAGCGGCCACACCGATTGGTCCGCCAGCCTCTCAGTTCTTCCACCATCATCCCACCACCAACAAAACAAACATGGCGTCTTCCGGCAGGTCCCTCAGCCGTCAAACTATCCACACCCCCCAACGCGATTGGTGGTCAGTGAAGTTGGGGAGACGTGGGTGAAGTTGAGCTGGAAGGCAGCCGCCTACGTTGGGAACTTCGGTCCCGTTACGTACATGGTGCAAAGTTATTGCTATGACGAAGGGCTGGTGAGTCGTGTTGATGGTGAAAATGTTGACGGTGGTGATGTTGATGTTCTTGGTGAAGATGATGATGATGTTGATGTTCTTGGTGAAGATGATGATGACAACTGTATTAAAAATAGTGACATTTCCATCTGATTAAATTTTTTCAGCTGTTTATTTGACGCTGAGACGATTCTACATTCGAATGTGTGGTGTGTGTTAATGCTTATTTTTACTTTTTGCTGTATTTTAATTATTATTGTTCTTGTTGTATTTTTGTTGTGATGTTTTTTTGCCCTAATTCGTTTCCTTGACACAAATAGTTACATCCCTCTAACATGTTCTGACGGCCTGCTGTCATGTTCATCCTTCCTCTATCCATCACTCTCTCTCTCCCTCTCGTTTTCTCTTTCTCTCTTTATTCATTTTTTTTTCATTCAATATTTTTCTGTTCATTCATTTCATTTCCATTCCTTCTCCGCTTAGTTCTATCTATCTATCCTTTTTATTGTTCATAATCCCAAAATAACTTAGCCAATGACTCACTTGGACACAAATGAATGAACAAACATACAAACCAACATGCATACGTGCATGCATACATGCCTACATACATACATACATGCCTACATACATACATACATACATACATGCATACATACATACATGCCTACATACATACATACATACATACATGCATACATACATACATACATGCATACATACATACATACATACATACATACATACATACATACATACATACATACATACATACATACATACATACATGCATACATACATACATACATACATACATACATACATACATACATACATACATACATACATACATACATACATACATACATACATACATACATACAGACGAACAAACAAGTGAACGAACGAACATACAAACAAACAAACCAACAAACACGTACAAACAATTATAGGAACGCATGCATTGAATAACTTGAAACACATGTCATGTACCAACATAAGCGTCTTATCATTATCTTATAATATCTTTATATATCTGTGTGTGTGTGCGTTTGTGTGTAGAAGTGTATTTATATATGTACATATACAAGGAATGCTTGCATACTTATGCTGATCTTTATCGATGCAGCCATTATTTCTTCATTCTCCCACTTTTCCACGTTACGATCATCATCACTTCCTGTTTATAATTTTTCCGCCTCGTCGTCATCTTCATCTTCATCACCAAGAGCTGGACGGTGTTGGCAGACGACGTGAGAGAGACGTGGTACCAGGCGACCAACCTCCGCCCGTCCACACACTACTCATTCATCGTCAGGACCAACAACTCCATCACCATCGGCAGCCATGCTGGTCCAACCAACAAGATCGTTACGAAGGGTTGGTGTGGCAGTAGTAGTAGTAGTAAAAGTAGTAGTGGTGATCCTAGCTGCAGTAGTCGTAATAGTAGAAGTAGTAGTGCTACAAATAAGTAAGCATCGGGGGTTGTGTTTGCTTAAAACCGTGTATGCATGTAACAGTCAGATAACGCATTTGCTGGGATGTTGTTGTTGTTTTTTGATTGGCTGCTATTCGCTTTAGTTGCTTTGACCTTCGGAACTGATTACACGTGCGATGTTAAGAGTGACGTCATCATCAACATCATCAGCTTCTTCTTCATCGTCATCATCAGCTTCTTCTTCATTATCAATATAGAATTACTCAACAGGCCATTACAATTTATTTTTAAACTACTCCATTTTAAATGATTCCACAAACAGAATCCAAACTTACGCCCAAGAAATCATCATCGTCGTCTTCGTCATCTTCATATCTTTACGTCACAAGTAACCATATCGTTCAACCAATCAATTCAACTTCCGTCAAGATCACGTGGTCAATAAACAAGATGGCCACCTCAAAGCTTTCATCCTTTCAAGGATTCCTTGTCAATTACAAGTTTATGGATTATGCTGCCAATATTAACAACATCAACAACAACAATAATAATAACACTAATAATAATAGCTTTAATAATAATAATAATAACAATGATAACGATAGGAATAGCGAATTATCATCATCACAATCGTCGTCATCATCGTCACCATCAGCAACAGCAGATTGGCAGCATAAGACAATAAGCTCGATAGATAGCAGAACTGTCCAGCTGAATGGCCTCAAAAAGTATTCCATCTACGCTTACAACATCCAGGCTTCCTATAAGAAAGATGTCTACAAACAACATGCCTCCAACAACAACAATAACATCATCAACAACAACAACATCAACAACAATAACAACAATAGTAATAGCGAGGAAAGTTTTGGAACATTCACCACAAGTGAAGATTGTTAGTAATGACGATGCTGGCAGGGATAAAATTTTGATTCGATCATTATAAAATTAACTCTTTGCTTATAATCAACAACATTTATTCATTCATTCATTCATGCATTCATTTATTTATATATCGATTGATCCATCCTTCCATTCATTCAGTTCCATCGGCTCCTCCACAAAACGTTCAACTCTATTACCTCAACAACATCATCAACAACAACAACATCAACAACAACAACAACAACATCAACAACAACATCAACAACATCAACAACAACATCAACAACAACTACATCAACAACAACACTTTTTTGAGATTGTCGTGGAAACCACCTGACATTGAGGACATGAATGGAATATTGATCGGTTACAAGGTGGGCATTATTCAGGAGAGATGATGATGACGACGACGACGATGAGGATGTTGTTGTTGTTGATGATGATGATGATATTCTAAATATGCACTTGTAACTAAGATCTACATAGTGACGAACGACAGCAGATCGGTCAGCAGAGACATCCAAGTCAACCAAAGCATCAACAGCATCGAGATATATAGATTACTCAGGAACACTAACTACAAGTATCTTTCGTTCATTCATTCGTTCGTCCGTTCGTTTGTTCGTTCGTTCGTTTGTTTGTTTGTTCATTTATTTAATCAATCAATCAATTGTCTATTTATTTATTCATTCATTTGTTCATCATTATCATTTCTGAGAAAATACATTGTATAAAATTGAAGTAATCACATAAAATGATTGTTGATTCCTCTGAAAAGGATTGACGAAAGAACTTTATTAAAAATGAAATAGATAAGCTAACTAGATAAGAACAATGATGATGATGGCGATGATGATGACAGAAAATTAAGAAACAAATATTTCCCGCTAGAATTCAGATCTCAGCTCTAAACAACGTTGGCGAGGGCCCCCGCAGTTTTTTCATCTATCCGAGTGAGTTGTTGTTGATGTTGCTGTTGGTGTTGTTGTTGATGTTGCTGTTGTTGATGTTGCTGTTGGTGTAGATGTTTTGTTTTTGTTGATGTTGTTGATTCTTTCTTTGGTCTTGTTTTTTTTATGAAGTCTTGTATCCATAGTTGTTACATCACGAAGATAAAAAAAATCTGATTGTAAACAAAATCTCGATGTCCATAAAGAACAATTTAGCGAGGATGAAGACCAACGCAACAATAACAACCAAATCAATGGCTACCCCATGACAGACAACAACAACAACAACAAAAGTTTTTTCAACGAGACCTGGTTCCTGGGTGTTGTTGTTGCTGTTGCAGTTGGTTGTCTCCTGTGGCTAACTTGCTGTGTCTTCATCATCTTCTGGTGCTATCGCAAGAAGAAATCGTCATCGTCGTCATCTTCATCCTCTTCATCATCGTCGTCAGCTGTGGCTTTGAAATCGGGCAAGATTCTGGAAGTTCAAAAGTTGATGCCCGAGAAGTTGACCAATGTGAAATCAGCTGGCAACGTAGTTGATGGTGGTCATCTTAATGACAAACATGCAAGTCAGTTCAAACTTCATCACTTTTTATTTTCTCTGAAATTATTGATGTTTTTATGTTTGGCTGTCTGTCTGTGTGTTTGTTGATTTTGTTGTTGTCATGTTGAATGAGTGTTGACGCAGGTATTTTTACCCAAACCTACCTATGTATGTGCAAAAATACGTTTGTCTGTCTGTTTGTATGTATATATATATGTGTGTGTGTGTGTGTGTGTGTGTGTGTGCAGAGCACGCATTGGCGGGTATCTAATTATTCTTAAGGGTATTTAAAATATGATTGATTGCTTTGGTTTAAGATTTGGATAGTGACTATGATGATGAGGATCATGATTATGATGATTATTATTATTGTCGTTGCTGTTGTTATTTTTATGATGATGATGATAATGATGATGATGGAAGAAGAAACGGTGATGATGAGCGAGGCACAGGCAGGCAGACCTGGTTTCAAATGCAGGCAACTTCCTTCCGTGAAACTTTTCCAGTGGCGAAATTTTTTAAAACTTTTAACTGCATAGAATCAGGACTGAGACGCAGATGAAAACCTTTGCCTGCAAGAACGAATATGCCGCATTAATTTCAAATTATCCCTACTAACCATCATGAAAAGCTCGCTGTTTTCATAAATTTCAATATTGTTTGGAGACTGTGATGTGATGATGATGATGTTTTGTGTGGAGATGATGATGATGATGATGTATAGTGTGATGGAGACCAACAAATTCATGATTTTGTTATTAATTTTCTCTTTTAAACTCAGACGCAAGCAGCCAGCCCCCAGCAAAGTTAGTTTACATTCATTCATTTACTTCGTTACGAAAATAGAGACAGATAAACATTAGCAAGCTCTGCACATGTTGCCGAATATTATTATTAATGTTATTATTGACATGAGCAAAGTGAACAGCGCGCACATTCGTATGAACCAAGCAGGCCACAGCAGGCCAGCTAGCAGGGCCAGCTGGCGGTCTGCTGGCATTTTGGCAGACGGCGCAATAGAAATTACGCGAAGGAAACATATCACATAAGCTGTTTGATTAGGAAATAAGTTGGAATTTTTTTCCAATTTTGGATTTCAAGATATGATATTTCTATCTATATTTGAAATTTAGAGATGGGATTCCATTGTTCATCAAAGGCCAACCGCAGCAGCAGCAGCAGCACATCCAAACGTCGCCCTCAACCAATACCTACCACACACGTTGGTTCATTTTTTCATTCTAAATACTCGCGCTGAAACGTGACGAGATATTTCTTTGAACAACTTGGAACAGTGCAGGCAGAGAACACAGCAGTTCCTTCTTGCATCCTCTCCACGAGCAATCCAATCTACTACAACAACGCCAACAACAGCAGCAACAACAATGACAACAACAACAACATTTACAGCAACAATATGTACAACAACATCATTAATAACAACGTCAACAACAGTAGCTCAAATTGTATTGGAGCTGACGACGACGACGACGATGCTAACAAACTACAACAGCATCACCAACAACAACGTTTACAGTTTTTATCTCAGCAACAACAAAATTTTCCATTTCACCAAAATGCTCACCAGCTTCTCACAGCGCAAACTGCAACATTTGGCAACATGCACCGCAAGCCATCACCTACAACAAACAAATTCTCAAATAGCTTCAACGTACGCAACAACAACAACAATAGTAGCAGCAACATCAACAATAGTAGCAGCAACAACAACAGTAGCAACAACAACAACAATAGCAACAACAACATCAACCGAATGTTTGTACCCATCAGTTTTGGCAGGAATTCATATATTGTCATGTCAAGTGATGAAGGTATGCAACATCATAACCAACATCATCATTAAACCCGTCATCACCACCGTCATTATCATTATCGTTATCCTTACCAACAACTTCATCATCATCAATGACATCATCGTCACCATGGTGGGCGAGTTAGCTCAGTTGGTATAAGTGCCGTGTCTTGTGCAGTTACCCCACGCCCATCAACCAGCAGACCACTGAGACCCCTGAGGCAAATGAGACCACTGAGACCACTGAGGCAAATGAGACCACTGAGACCACTGAAACCACTGAGACTAATGAGACTAATGAAACAAATGATTTTGTTTTTGACATTTGAAATTTAAACGTTTCCATCAAGCCGCATTAGTGCGATTCAATGATTGCAGTGTACCTTTGCCCCTGTACTTTTTGTTAATTCTTCTAAAAATTGTTCGAGATTGAAAAGCAAATAAAACAAAAATATATAAATCAGTTTACAAGAAACAGACTATTTTCAACGAAGATTGTTGAGAAGATAGTTCGTAAACAGCCGATTTAAAGTTTGCTTATGAACTGCACTGTGGTACACCAGAAAAATAGGTGGTGATAAAATGTGCATAGCGTGGTTATGGGGAACATTTAGCTCCAGTGAAGTGATCAAACTTTGGCGCCATCTGCACAATGTAACTATCTGCACTGGGCCCTGACAGTAGGTGAAGTCAGAGAACACTGATGATCATTTTGCTTCAGTAGCAGTTTATTTAAACATAGCGCGGGTAAGGTACTTTGCCTAGGGCCCGCTTATGACTTATCCGTTCTGTTTTTGCCTGACTGTATAAACATGTTTTTTTTTCATCGTTCAAGACTTCATTTAGTTAAAGGCGGTCTGCACAAATAGTTTTTGCTTATTTACACGCAGAACTTCAAAGGAGCCACCGCCACGACGTTAACAACTGCACCACCTCCTCTCCACCGGTACTCTACATCCCCCCACCCCCGCCAATCGATGATGACGTCACAAACAAAGATGTGATGATAATGATGAGGAAGGCTACAAAGAGGAGTGACGATGATAATGATGGCATACCTGATGGTGGTGGTGCTGATGATGGTGATGAGAAGTTCAAAGATTGTGATCATATACCCAGAGTTGTATATAGGTTGGTGTTATAATGTTGTTGATGATGATGACGACGACGATGATGATGATGTGATGATAAAAAAATAAATGTCTCAAAGTGTCACCTAACTTTTGTCTGATCATAAACAGCACACTTCAACGAAACTCTGAAGCGAGAAAATCAAAACAGCAGCAACTGCAAGCCAACAACAACGTCATCAACAACAGCATCGACAACAACAACATCTCAATCAATCCATTTTACTACAACAACTACAACAACAACATTGTGAAAATACCAAAATATTTGAAATCAAGCAACGTTAGCCCTGCCCTACCGTTCAGCGCAAACAACATCATCAACAACAACATCAACAACAACAACAACGACATCAAGTATAACATTAGTTCTGATTTTGACGATGGCCGAGGTGAAATGATCTCGATTAGTTTTAAAATAATTTTGTAGTCATTTAATTTTACATATCTTTACGTGACAAATTGAATATTTTTATCAACATCATTATCTTTATTATCATGAACGACATCATCGTCATCATTGTCGTCATCATCACCACCACCAAATACAGAAACCTTTAACCGCCCGTCACTGAATGAGGATGACGTGACGGACTGTAGAATGAGTAGTAATGATGAAGAATTGTTATCATCGTCGCCATCATCTTCGTTATCATCGTCACCATCGTTTGGCATTCATGATAATGATGGCGGTATTGTTTTCGTCAACAAGTTGAAACAGAAGAAGCGTGACAATGAGAGGCCAGAGAAAACCCACCATCATCATCATCATCATCACCCTCATCTCACTCATCTTCATCACCATCTTCTTCAAATGCAAGAACAACATCAGCAGCAAAGCGAAACAGAATATGAAATGGGTAAGAGATGACAATGATGATGATGATGGAAATATTATAATGATGATGGAAATGTTATGATCAGTGTTGGAGTCAGTTTGAATCTGACATTTTCGCCTTTTGAAGGATCGGAATCGGATATTTTTCAACCGATTCCGAAAAGTTTTAAAAATTTGAAATGTTGGAAATTTTTTTATAATTTTTTGAGATATGAAACCAAATTAGTTATGGCCATTCTCATTAAGGCAACTAAATTGCAATAACTCACCCTGACCTATTTGCAGACCTATTTATATTCAAGCAAGAGATGATAGTTCACAGAGCGTGTAGACCCAAACGTTGAAAAAAGTGTGATAGCAACGTTTTTAGACGAGCTCAGGTAAGGAAAGAGTAATAAAATGACGAAAGGACAATACTCTTTGCTCAAACTTCTTTCTTTAAGGTTCTGCATTCCAGTCGAATATTTAATCTAAAGTGTAAAAAAATGCAAAAGATAATTTTTTGAAATGTGAAGTGAATGACTCAGAACGTTGGCGGGTGGCGGCATAAAATGGGTCAGCAGTTTGGCCAGTCCCTCGCTTTACTTTCATATTCATCCAACATTTTTATCCGCGGTTGAACAATTGATGCTGATGATGATTCAATGATGATGATTGAATGATGGTCATAACAATGATGAATAAAAAAATAATTTAACAGAAGAGAGCTTCAAAGATTTTCCACTGCCTAAGAATGCAACGAGAATATGACGTTCAAGAAATCCATCTCTCTTTCTCTAATTGGCTGATTTTTTGTTCCCACACTAACACACATTTATAAATGCACACACACGCACACATACATAAACACACATACATAAATATATACACACATGTATTGTTTACTTTAAATATTTGTGTGCTTAAAATATTGTAACATGATTCAATATTACCGTGACAATAATCTCGATGAAAATTTATTTAAAATTTAACTGTCGTAATTGTATAAATAAAAATAATTTTTCATGAAATATGTTAAGAACTTTTTAAATATTATTTCATTCTATTGAAAAGTTGAATTTCTATTTATTTGTTTTGTTATCTTTCAATGTTTCTTCTTTTTCTTCTTTGTTAGATCTCTTCTCTCTCTCTCTCTCTCTCTCTCTCTCTCTCTCTCTCTCTCTCTCTCTCTCTCTGCTCGTTTGCATGAAATAAAACTTGTTCACTCATTCACTCATTCGTTCGTTCGTTCATTTATCATTAATTTTTCCAATCAATTCATTTATTTTCCATCATTCAATCTCCAATCATTAACTTATTTAACCACCATCGTTCATTTTAATTGCAATCGACTTCATTGGTTCTCATTTCTGAAAACTTAAGAACATTACCTCAAGTTATGAATTTTTTAAAGAAATTTGTGATTCGTTGTTTTTATTATTAATTTTTTGTTCCCCGTTCATCTTGGCATGGCTACGGCGAGCGGACAGCTGCTTGCCAATCCTTTCTTAATGACTTAACAGCTTAACAGACTCTAACATCCACACCGCACGACCTGCATGTATATTTCAAATTCAAAAAACCTTCTCTTCAGGAGTCCTGAGGTTTTCACTTATTGGGACATCCAGTCCAATGCATGAATAGAATAGAAGCACCCCGCGATATATAACACATATTTTGCATGCATAGAAACAACACGGACAGGACTTCCATGCATGCTTCGCTCACCCACATAGACACGCAGGCACCAGAAACAGAAGACATTTCTTCTTCGAATTTCCACCTGAGAGTATTCGAACGATTTTTATATTTAGTATTTTTATTATTAATATTATTATTTTCGAGTCCATAATTTTGTTTAACAGAGCTTAAAAGTTGGTAATAATATTTAACAATATTATTTATTATATTTTTATTATGATTGTTGCATGAAGCATTTTTTGCGTTATTAATAAAATGGCACCGTTAATTTTTATGTGTAAATAGAATATCGTTTTGTATTGTTAGTTGAACATTGCCTTTGAAACACTGTATATTACTTCAATTTCATTTATAATCACATCACGAATACATTACAATCACATCTTAAATACATTACAATACATCACAAATACAAACGCATCACCACTTTACTAATTGCTGTCTTTCACATGACTTCAAATTGGAAAGCAGTTGAACTTGTTAATTTCATACTCTCTAAATTTTCATTGACTTATATATATTAATATATATATATGTATGTGTGTCTGTGTGCTTGTGTGTGGTGTGTGTGTAAATATATGTAAGAAATTACATATTTTCATCGAAACTTTTTTACAAATTTTGTGATGTCAAATTTTTTATGTAACGACTTATTTAAGCTAGTGTTGATTTTTGTACGCATTTTTGTATAATTGTATATATATATATATATAATATATATATATAATATATATATTTATATTTATTCACAGTATTCTATAAATTCTACCAAATGTTTTGCATTAATATGTTCGTTGTTCGATTTTTCTCACATCAGTTTTGATGACTGCATACATGTATTTATAAATTCTGCCTGGCATAGGTTTTGTTCATTAGGCATCGTGAGAAAAATCGAAAAAACGAACTACAAACATATTAACGCCAAACATTCGGTAGAATTTATAGAATATTGTAAAAATTATGGTCTTTTATCAACATATATATACATATGTTGATAAAATATATTCGTTATTCGAAAATGTTTTGTATGTCTTCACATTTGTTTCAAAAACTGAGGGTTATGATTTTGTTGTTATATTCTTACTCGATGTTTCCATAAATTTTATTTTTTAAAAACAAAAGAATAAAACTCTTCTATTTATATTCATTGAACTATCATCACTCGCTATTTTTATAGAAAATTTTCGACGAACGAACAAAAACTAAATTTTGTTGTTTTTTTAATTTTCTTGATCTTATTTGTAATATATGAATGCTTTCTTGCACGCACAGTGTATCTACATTAACTAAATGTGAATATTATATTGTTAAAATTTCATTGTATTCTATAACTGTCTTGAATATTCGTGAATCAACTTGTTAATTAATTGTAAAGTAATAAATAGATGTTCAATAATTAGTGACTCGATGTTAATTGGGTGGCCAGACAGATGTCACTTGTGTTCGCTCACAATTTTTACAAACATGCAAATAATAAAAAAGTTATTATACATTTCCTCCGCTGTCAGTTTTAATAAAACTCTGAAATGCAACAACATATGTCCTCATTTTTATCTTCTGCAAGATTGATAAGTTGTATAAAATGATCAAATAACGACAAAAGAAAGTTACAAAAACGTCGAAATATCGTGGCAGGTTGCAGGTTTCAAATGCCGATTATTCCAACAGTTTCTAAGCAACAATTTCATCTGATTTCTGTCCTTACTCTAACAACCTTTTACTGTTTCTTAGATCTTGTTTATTTCAAATTTGACATGTCATCAACCACGACAAATTATGAGTGAGTGTTTGGATGAAAATGTAAACTTCCTATGTAATATTTATAATTTAACTCGTACAGCAGCTGACTGACTCACGGTCAAATTAACCAACAAACAAATGAGACAAATGCCTAATGCCCTTACTTTTGAGAGGCCCGACACTTATCAATCTACACTCTATTTGGGCTCCATCTGCACTTATCGCAATTTTTTTATTTTACTTGAATATTGACTTTGTAATAAAACGTTTTTCTAAGAATTAACAGCATCAAGATGTCAAAATCTCACATCTGTTTGCAAAATTCATTGAGAAGCGCTGTTGAACATCGCGGAAATAGCGCTTTATAAACTAATTTGACAGATTGATTGATTGATTTTCCATACTTTTTGATAACCTTCATATGCATTTGATCTGAACGCATGTCGGCCGGGCAATGCCAGCTTAGCTTTCTTAATCAATTGATTTATTCTGATATATTCGGAGTGCTCTAACTCCCTGTCATGATCTTATGAATATTAATTAAATACACTTTTGCAGCTAATCTTTTCATTTTATAATATTTTTCAAGATGTTTCTGGTAAAAAAGTATGCAACTTTTCCTCTTTTTTCCAACAAGATTGGCGAATTAAGTGAGGAATTGTTTTGAATTGTTGTAGAATTGATGTGTAGATCTTTGTATAATTTTTAAAAATAATTAAGATTAAGAGATCTATTTATTTATTAATTAATTTTAATAATTTTGATATAAATTTAAAATTTTTAATTTAATTAATTAAGTAAATTGAATTAAAATATGCCATTATGATTATAATAAAATAAAGTTATATGTGTTATTATTATTAATCATTTATTACTCATTTTTTTAGTTTTTTTCATTATAAGCATGCCTATTTTATTAGTATTTGCCCTTTGCTAATGCTAATCTAATATTCTAATTCTTAATTAAAAACACACACAAATAAACCACACACAAACATCACTTACTTTACAAATGCATCACTTATAAAATAATGTTATCAAATATTTTTTTAATTAATAATTGTGAAATGTTGTACAAAAAAAGTTATTATAATATTTTCTATATTTAAAAAAGTTAATTAAATTAAACATTCATTTAATTAAAGAGTCCTTACATTTCATAAAAATGATTATTATTTTGATTTTGTAGGTTCACTAACATGCTGTAACAAGTTTAAAGACAATGTTACTACGTAAGTGTACGTGTTGTGCTGTATTATATTATGTATCTGTCATGTTTTACTGCCTATGTTAATTAAAGATAGTTTCTTTAATGTTCTCTGTTATTTATTGAAAACTTTATTTGTGTGAAGTTTCATAGCAAAGCAATGGACTAACACTAAATGAATTAATCATTTTGATCTCTTGATGATGAGTGTTTTCTATTTCAAATTTGTTATAATATTGATTCACCTGAAAATTACATTACTAACCATTCAGTAAATCCAAGAGATGTGAAGCAACAACAACAACACAGATAGTCAATAATGATAACGATGCTTATGATGGTGTTGGCTTCCCTAGAGTAACAACATCAGCTGATCGAAGCATCATCCTTTCCTGGCACCCACAGAACAACTTTCCATACGAATGCACAAAAGTAAGTCTGCTGTCAGTTGTACTGATTCAAATTCAATGGAGGGCTTCTAATGAGAGACAGTTCTTTTTTGAAAATTTCTGCTCCAAAGTCTTGAGAGTCTCTGGAGTTAATTTTGTTGATTGCCAACTGTTTAATAAAAAAACAGCTTTTCGAATTTGTTGAATCTTGAAAATGGTTAATTGTTGCTTAGTTTAGAACTATTTAAATTTAACAATGATTTGCAGATGAATGCTACTATTTGATATTATACATCAATATTAACTAAACTAAACTAAACTAAACTATTATACATCAATATTAACTAAACTAACTAAACAGTTAAACAAACTATGTAACATTTATTTTCTATATTCCCATTCCGAATGCAGCCTCTGGGAAGAAGCTTTCATGATGCAAAAGAGGTTTTGCTCATCTATTTGTATTGTTAATTTTTCATTGCAAAGTTGTCAATTTTTTTCCTTTGATGGAATTATGTAACTGCAGTCTGATCATCCAACTAATCAATCAACCAACCAATTAAATTCTAATCGTTCAACCAACAATCATTCAATTTACCAACCATTCATCCAGTCAACCTACTAACTAACCTACTAACTAACCAACCAACTGCACACATCAGTCCTCATCGGGAAAGTTGAAGATTCAGCATTACGAAGATGAGGAAAGGAAATATCGACCAACTGGGCCAACGAACCAAGAACTCATGAAGATGTTTCATACAACAAGACATCCATTTGACAGAAAGTATGTGCAAGAAAATTAGAAAGAATGAGTGAGAAAATGAATGAGTGAAGGAATCAAAAAATGAATGCGTTGTGTAAACGATTGTATATGGAGAAATAAGGATTGTATGTATGAATGAACTGGAGTTAATGTTAAATTTTAGAGATTTTACAAAATAAATCTACTTATAAATATATATATTAAAATTTAATTATCTCCTTTTGGTTTTACAAATTAAATTAAATGTATTCTAAATATTTTCAGATCATCCAGACAATACCAAAAGAAGATGCACCAAGAACGCGAACAAGTGTGATGGTGATGATGTAAAGATCACGCGTTAATGATAATGACATGTATTAAGAATAATAGGACGAATTAGTTTATTAGATTTATTTATAAAATTTATCAACCAGCTGATAAGTGAAGAAATGAAGTGAGGGTAGGGAGAATATTCACTAATCTTTTTGGGGAGGTTCCGATTATCACCGGGGTGGCCAACATTTTTACAGAAAGAGCAAAATTTTTGTGGTAATGCGGTCAGAATTTTGCTTACATTTTTGGGCTTATAACGTCAATTTTTCCTTCAAAAACACTACATTTTTCGTCAAAACAACGACTTTTTCTAGCTTACAGGTACACAAATATGCTTGCAGCTTAGATCCGCTACTGTTAACAAATGTATGGGATGTTAATTATAAATAATATTGGAAATTAATAAAATATTGTAAAAAAAAATTAAATAAAACTAATATGAATATAATTATTAGCAGCTACATTGACTACTTGCCATCATGTGCGGTTTGTAATTTTCAACGGGCTCCAATACAATAAATGCAGGGCCTCTACAGATAACACTATGTCCGTTTTGACGTATTAAGCAGCGTAGACGCACCAAATAATTTTCAGGAAGAACGTTAATTCGAATTCAATATTGTCAAAATGTCGAGGTTGTTATGAAATAAATGTTAGTCATTGAATGACCAAGCAAATAAGTAGTAAATAAAATAATGTAGTCACTAATTCACTCAATCAATTATTTTCATCAACTTCAGAATATGCATTTTTATATCTTTCGTTGCCTCTCCCGCCTTCGGTATGTAAAAGCGGTCGATGGCGGTGACCGTCAGACCGACGTCATCATATTGCCTGCTTGTTCGATCGTCAAGTTCTGATCGGTTTGTTTTTGCACCTCCATCTAGCTGAACAACGTTTTCATTCGCACGCGCTGACGATTTCATATTTTCAACATTTGGAACATCAGTTTTGCCGTGTGGCAGTGGTGATGTTGTTGAGTAATTTGATTCAACCGCACCACAATCATTAAAACCGACCATTTCGTTGACGCTACGTTTATCTGTCGCTGTTGTTGTTGTGTTTAAGGTGGCAGCGGTCAGGGCGTCTGAAGTTTCTACTGCCGCTGCTCCATCAGCGGTAACGACGGTCGGAGGAGCGCTTGCAGGAATTCTATCAGCAGTAGCATCTTCATTAGCATTAGTACAACCGTTAGCAGCAGTAATAATTTTCTCATCAGCTTTATCAGCAGCTGTGAAACAAGCAGGAGTAGTACTAAGTGGTGTACCCCCGTCAGAAACAGAATTGTCAGTCATGATGACAGAGTTTTGGTTCTTTGTTGAAGCCATTCCTCCAGTTCCATATTTGATTGTGATTAATTCAGGCTGGCGTTTCTTTGATGTTATTTTCAGGACAGATGTGAGACTCCGCCTGCTCTGAATCCAAGCTTTATCTTTTGGGTCAGTTGTTTACGTGTTACTATCATTATCACTAGCCACAAAAATAAAAATAACTATTGCTATTTACATAGACTTATCTATTGATTACGATCATCTCTTCAACATATTTCCGAGGCATCTAAAACAAACAAACAAATAGTGCTTGCCGCTGAAATATCGTCACTTGTTATTAGTTGATAAAATTTACTGGTAAATGATGTACATTTTATATTTATAGCATATTTTAGCAATTATAATGAAAATACAAATGTTATTTTCAGTTGTGAGGTGGTCATAATTTCTTTTAAATAAAAGTAAATTGAAAAACGAACGTGGCTCGTCTGGGATGAGACGTAGGATGATGATGTCATCACCAGTCAGGCATAAAAGGCTGGCAGGAAAGAGGTTAACAAGAGGTTATAATACAATAGGGCGAGAGTAATAAGAAAAACTTAATTTTAAAATCAACAAATGGATTTGAACTGGCGACCAGCCAGCAGCAGAAACAACCTTGGAATGCTCTTTGAATTGTGTGTTGCCACCTCGAAACACTTGTAGACAAATTGAGGCTGGGTGAACTTCTTAATCCAGCCGTCAACCAACACTACCTCCTTCACTTCCTCTTCCGATGATGTCACGTGGTTATGATCTTCTGCTGGCGATGATGATCCAAGATGAATAATGTTATTATTATTATTATTATTATTATGCAGTGGTATAACTATTCATTTTGATTATTCAGTTTCGTAATCATCATCAAATCCAACACAATCATTTACCATTACCAGACCCGTCATAAAAGCCATTGCCATCACCTTCATCACCATCTTCACCATCACCATCTTCAACATCACCATCCTCACCATCGTCTTCGTCACCAATGGTGAAGACAGACGCAATATTCCTGTACCTCCTGCCCGCATTATCTGCACTGCTAACGTGTCTGTACCATGTTTCAATTATTTAATTATTCTTCTATAATTTAATAAGTTTGATCATTGTATAAACTGTTTATGGATGTGTGCAGTGCGTGTTCATGGGTGTGTCAATATTGCAGTCCAAAGAAACATTTGCCAACAATTATTTGCATGACGCCAATAAATATGGATATGAAAGCAAAAATTGAACTGCAAACGACCTATGGAGAGCAGCTGATGATGAAGACGATGATGATGGTGATGATTGTTGTTCGTTCTTTATGTACGTCATCACTTTATCTTTCAGCGTTGCGGACGTTAACTTAAGTGCTGATGACAACTTTGTCATCTTTTCCATGGCTTCCGTTACCTATTAATTCATCATCATCATTATTATTGTTGTTGTTTTGTCACTAATATTATGACCATCATTATTTTGTAATTACGCCAATCACAATTTTTAGTCATATTTATCTTAATAACAGTTAATTTCATCAATATTCACGCCATCCCCATCACACACCACTGACAACAACACACCATCATCATCATCATCACCATCTTAACACCACCACAAACGGGTATGTTAGGCATATGCATGGATGCAATTAGGTTGCCACTGCTACTAGAAGCATGCTCTTTATTATTATTATTATTATTAGTCTTTTTTTTATTCTTATTATTTCTCGTACAGGCGGAGCAGTTGTTGTAGCTGTGTCCTACAATGTGCTCCATCATGTTGCTGCTCACTAGCCAGTTGTGAAGGCCTGAAGTGAGAATAACAAAGAATAATGAAGTAGACATCGCCATTGACATCGACAACATTACTAACCCTGGTATCCACCCCTACATACAGACACATACTGCACGTGTTTGTGAAGGAAGTGAGCAACGACCATGTTCATATAACCATCACCACCATCATCATCATCATCTTTTTCTTCGTAATCGTCATCACCATCGTCATCATCCTCCTTGTATTTATCACCATAGCCCACAAAGCAGATATGCTTGCCATCAGGGAGTGATATGTTGTGGTTGCTGTGAACATCTGCATCGTTATTATTCATAATCGTTTATTATATTATATGAAATGTTATATCTGCAATGTTATTCATTCGTTATTATATGAAATAACAGTATTGTTATTTGTTTATAAGGGACACCTGTGACTTCATCCTCACTGCTTTTGTCGGCGTTATGAGGAAATAGGAGTGAGTTAACTTTTGAAAGAAATTCCTTTGGATTTTGTAGCATCTGCCAACAGGAAAGAAATGAACATCAGTGAAAAAATTATGTAAAATGCTAATGGTGAACAAAAATATATAAAGAGGTTGTTTTAAATTAAAATCAATCAAGCAGCTGCCCAGGGGATAAATAGCAGAACACGCAGAGCTGTGTGTGTGCGCGTGGGAATACACAAACAAACACCATATGAACTTTTTTCATGTTTTCAATCTTTTTTGTCGTCCAAAAAACACAGCATCCTCGACGACTTACTAAAACAATGATTTCAGTAAGAACATCATATTACAACCAACCAACCGACCAACCATCCAACCAACCAAATGTGCATTGAGGTGAAACGAATTGGATACATGACCCCATTTGTAATGCTCTGCTGACCTACAATCCACGATCAGAAATTTGATTGGCTCATTCTGTAACCAATAGAAATTTATTTACAGTTACTACTTTTTTAAGAGCAGACAAAATATTACTCAACAAGTTTTGAAGTAAATAGGAATCAATAACCAAGTTAATTTATTTTTGTTTGAAAATTATATAATATATCCTCTACAATTAACATTTATTATTTTACCATATTATCATTATTATTATTATTATATAAATTAACAACAAGTATCTGATAAGAAGAACCTGTTCAATGGATGAATGAACAGTTGTGATGGTTGGACGGCCCTGCAGACCTTTCAGAATTTCAGATGCTGGTAGCTCCAAACATAATGAACTGACAAGTTTATTGCAGGGCTGGTTTGATGGGGAGATGGAGCAAGATGGCAATGACGGTAAAGAGGAAAAAGAAGATGAACGAACTAGGTGCTGATAGACCTGTAAAAACAACTTAATTTGAAATAAAATTATCAAAATTTATAATTTTATTTTTTATTTATTTTCATTGCTTACTTTCATTTTGTTCAGGCTTACTTCATAAGCCTGAACAAAATGAAAAACAAATTCTTAAAAAACAATCAGAACACCTACAACCATGCTACGTTGAGCCAAAACAAATCAAACATACATCTATCTCTTAAGCACAAATCAGCAACGAAGCTGAATAGTGGTTTGTAATTTGCGGCCGAAACTTCAAGTTTTTTCTTAAATAGCCTAATATTATGAAAGTTTCTGATTTAGGAAGGAGCAGTGTTGTCCAATAAAACAGGAGCAGCATGAAAGGCGAAGTTACGCTCGATATTTAACCTTGCCGAGTCGGTGCAAGAAGTTGATTTTTGTTACGTATTTACTGTATGGCTGGCATGAGCAAATTAAAAAAACATTGATATAAACGTGCAGAACACCATTTTTAAACTTATGTACAAATAATGATTGAGCTAAAAAAATTTAATTGCTGGATAGATGATGCTTTGGAACACAAAACAAAACTGCGTTGTAATCAGTCTGCTGACGTTCTAAAATATACGTAAAAAAATCGTTTCTGATATTTCAGTAAATTGTTTATTAGAAAATTATTTCATTCTCTCAGATGATGTTGTCATTAATTCAGATGAGGAAGAATGGACCTGGTGTAACTTTGTATTTTAGTCCCATGATTAAATTTGTGCTTAATTTTGTTCATTATATTTGAGAAACCATGAATTCTTTTGGTGATGTAAAAAACATGATTCGCTCATGCCAACTTGCTCTGTATATCCATTCTATGGAAATTACTCGTTATCTTAATCATCAATACAATCAACGTCATCATCACAATCACCATCATCACCACGAACAATTTTGAACGATGCAGGAGTCTTGGAGGCATAGTACTGACCAAGCGAACACAAATCCTCAACGTCCTCTGCTTCCAATGCACTTGCAAAGCTGCCCAATCTATCTGTTTCGTTCGTTCCCTCATTCATTCGTTGTACAGTCAATAAATAGGTCAATAATAAAAATAATAATTATTATTAAAATCGTTGATTGGCGAAAAAATTAAAACCACGAACTAATTATTTCTGTTCTGTCCTCTCCAACCATGCACACAATCTGATCTCTGAATAAGTAAAAATAAAATTATTCTATCCATCTGTCGAAGCACATTTTTATTTCATTCATCCAATTATTCATTCATTCTATCGTTCGTTCACAGAGCATCTCATCTTCAAGCAGATAAGTTGGAGCAGCAGCCAGCCAGCCAGCAACCAGCCCAGCAAGCACCTCGCATTGATGACGATGACGAGGACCAGAAAGAATATGAAGAAAGGATCGTTCAGTTGGAAATAAACATCCCAAACGTTCAGGCTCACTTCCAGCAGGCAGTCCTTCGAGAATAAAGAGCAGAACTGTCGTGATGGCGTTAACTTTAGGATTACTATCTTCATTATGTAACCATTTTATATATTATTGCTGGGTCGATAAAATTGCAACAATGAACAATAACTATTACAATGAACAAGGGTCTTATTTGAATGAATAATTAAATCAACCAATCGATCAATCAACCCATTCATTTGCATAGTTTTCAGGGGCAATTTTTTTGGTATCGAGAAACTGGCACAAGTAAGGATCATGGTAAAGTAGGAGGAGTCTAAATAAATGATAAGCATTTTGATTGGTCGGGGAAGGCCTGTGGGAATGTTTTTATAAATAAATTAAAGTTTTGCAGTAGGTTATTACATACTCCTGCCACATTTCAACATAGTATAAATATGATGAATATTTTAATTAAGTTTTATTTCATCTTTCTAGAACAATAGCAGTATATAACCAAAATATTAGATGTTAAAATTTATGTCCAAGCAACATTATGAATATCCCATAAGATTTGATAACAACATCATCACATTATCATTCCATCATCATCATTGTATCCTTCCATCATCATCATTGTATCATTCCATAATCATCACATTATCATTCCATCATCATTGTATCATTCCATCAACATGTTTAACACACCACCATCAAATCATCACCAACATAACCAACGTGAAAATGAACTTGTCAAGAATGACAGAAAAAACATTGTAAAGTTGGGCTCTCCGAAGTCCTTGCACCTTCAGTAAAACTTTTAAAATGACCTTCCAAAGCAGGTCCGATGAGTAAGTTATTCGTCGACTCTTGCAGTAATGGGTTATTATGCTTTCAAGCTCACTTTGCAATGAGAGGCAATCATCATCATCACCAATTCCGCCATCACCATCACCATCATTGTTTTTTTCTACAATCACGTCAGTAAGAATTATATTAATTTATATCTGCTTGATAAATTGATTAATTAACTACTGTTATAGCATGAATGAATGATAAATAAGGGGAGTAAAGTTCAATGATCAACTCGAAAAAATGAATGAAATAAAAACAAATTAAATGGTTCTATCCAGAACAAAAGACATTACAGAATGAATGAATGAATGTTATGTCTGGCTAACCAACCAACCAACCAGCAATTGATTTGCAATCAGCTCTGATGGCTTCTTGTTGTGGCAGGTCGTATACTGCATCGAATGAGTTGAAAGGCTCATCATTGATATCTTGAACATCCAGGCAATACTTCGGAAGTAGTCGTTCAATTAGGAATCAATCAATATTTGTTGATGAGTGTTGTTAAGGTTGTTGAAAAAAATTTTTAATAAGCAAATTATTAGCCGAATCAATTTTTGAATTATTAAATAGAGCTAAAGCTAAAGGTTACAAAGTTTTTAACCAACACTTACACTGATATCAATGTCATCCAGAATTAAATCATCAAAGACATTAATCAATTTAATGCAACATTTCATCATTATCACCATCACCATCATCATCTTTCCAACGAACTTTCCAGACAGCAGCTCTCAGACGTGCAGGCAATGGTTTACATCTTGTCACATTTAAGAGGTTCTCTCTTGTTATCATTAAATCTTTTTCTAATAAAAAAGCTTCCAATTCTTCACTCCTTCCATTTTGATATCATGTAAATTATAAATTTTAACTAATCCATTAAATAACAATAAAAATATGTAAAAATTAGATTAATTAAATAATATATTTAACTCACTACTATATCAGATCTATTTTTATATATAATTAATTTTAGAATATGAACTTACTTTAATTTCATTTAGTTTAGTAGTTTAGTAAGTTTAAGTTTAGTAAGTTTTAGTTTTGAATAGATAAAATACACTCTAGCTAGCTGGAGTAACATCCTACCTCGGGAAACCGGGTCTCTGGATGCAAAACGAAGATTGATTGATTAGCTAGCTGGAGTACAAAGAGACTTAGTTACCTAGACTCTTTTAGTTTATTAGACTAATTAATGTTATTTTTTATTTATATTTAAATTCAATTTATATATTTATTATTTATGAAGATATAATAAAAATATAATATAAGAACCATTTGCTAATTATGTCAGTGTCGTCCATATCAAGAATTTACAATGGAAACTGCAAAAAACCAAAAATAATTAATTTTAATATAATATATAATTATATATAAATAAAATAATACACATACAATAGTTTTATTAATAGTAGTAGAATAGATAGAATACACATACTGATACATACAGACAGTGATACACCAATAAATACCTAAATAGTAAATAACCAACACGCAAGAAAAATTCAACAAATGAACGATGAATTGTGTTGCATAATGTTTCATTCGGAGACAACTGGAAAAACCGATCCCAACATTTATTTTATTTAACAGTCAACTTCAACAAAATAGTGCAAATGTAAACAGGGTACGTATAAAAATTAATTTATGGATTACTCTTTAAAAAAATCATGAGACGCTTAACTAGAGTAATATTCATTTGTAAAATTTTCTTAAGCGTTTTTATTTCTCATTTAATCATTCATTCTGTAAAAACTTACTTATATTCAATTGACTCAGCTCATTTTCTAACTTACCTATATTTAATTGGCTCAGCTCAGTTCCTTATGTTCAATTGGCATTTGAACTAGTGTCACGCGACTAGCCAACGAGCTGATTCTTCCCACACCACCATCATCATAAGTAATATAAAGAGTACGCGTGAGTGTTTGTCTTGAATAATGCTTCTTAGAAGCAAAAATTTATAAAATGAAAACAATGGCAAATAAATGATATCTTAAAATAATGGAGAGAGTAAAAAAAAATCTATTCATCGTTCATTTGACAAAGGTAGAATGATGAATGACTTTTGGTTCCTACATTATCCCCCAAAACTGGTGCCAGTTCTCGAGATTGTTGTTGAAACACAGCCCGTGTTGATGAAGAAAGACAGGGAAAGAAAAGATTCTCATCAGAAAGGTTAGCGTTGCCTGCATCTCAAATTGCTTGCTTTATACAAATAATCCTATCTACCAATTCAATTACCTTAACTAACTTAACTAATGATATTTTAAACTCTCAATTAGCTCAACTTACGAATGAATCCTACCTATTTGTACAATTACGAAGAAAAAGGAAAAGAGGATAAAAAATTAACCAAACAAAACAACGAATGTATGTGTGTATGAGTGTATGTGTAACCGCGCAATAATAATAACAATAAAATAAACAAACAAATCTAGAAATAATAAGTAACGAATAAAATAAATACGTGATTGGCTGGCCAGACATCATAAATACTCATCTCTCATTGGTCAAAAGAAAAATGATGAAATTGCTGAAAGCAGTAATAAGTAATAATATGCTATGCATTTTTCAGTCACAACATTAATTATTTTCAATTTTGTTTACAATTTAATGTGGAAAATGAAAAAGTAAAACGTTGGTAAATGAAGGTTAACCGGACGAAAGAGTTGACTCTTTTGTTGTTATTAACATGGTTATTAATTACGATTTTAATAATATTGCTAAATTATTAATGGTAAGAAGTCATACAGAACTGCTCGATCTATTCCTAGAAGCTGTGCACATGTCGACCAATCATATTGATCCCGATGTGCAGGTTATATTAATAGATTTTTTATCTATTTATTACTAGCAGTAACATAATCAGTTTTACATAATTCATGGAATTAATGATATTTATAATCAATAGATAAGAAATAATAGGCTTGGTTAAAAACTTTCAGATTGGAATGGGTGTGCTGTTCAATTTGACTGGTGAATATAAGAAGGCAGTTGATTGCTTTAAAACGGCTCTGCAAGTTGCTCCTGAGGTATTCATTAAATCAATCAATTAACCAGTTGACTTATTGAATTGTAAATTGATTATTCAACCGTTTGATCTTCAATGAGTTGATGTGTATTTTTTTGTTGCCAACATCGTTATTGTCATTCTGAATCGCCGCTGCCACCACCACCCGAGGACTCCATGCTGTGGAACAAATTAGGAGCCACACTCGCCAATGGCCAGATGAGCGAGCAAGCTATAACAGCGTATCACCAGGCCCTCAATCTTCGGCCCGGTTACGTCAGGACCAGATTCAATCTCGGAGTCGCATGCGTCAATTTAGGGGCGTATAGGTCAAATATATAATTGTTTTATTGATTGAATGATCTGCTGATTAATACTTTTGTTATTGTTGGTTTTAATAGATTTGATATTTTCAACCAATGAACCAATTAAACTTGACAGGGAGGCCGTTGAACATTTCCTTTCTGCTCTAACGTTGAAAGACCAAACAAAAGGACCCAAGACAGCTTCAAACGGCAACATCATCTGGTCCAGTTTAAGGATGGCATTGTCCTTGTTGGGCAGCACAGATTTGTTGGATTCATGTGATAAGCATGATTTGCAGTTTCTCAACGCACACTTCAAATTGAATTAGAATTGTAGTTATCGGTGATTAAATCATTGATTGATGGATTATTGGTCGAATGGTTGGTTTATTGAATAATTATATTGAATAATTAATTTATTTGAATTTTATGGCTATCATCTTGCAAGAAAGAACATTGTTATAAAATTTATTTCATCATATCGTTAAAAACATTCAATTTTTTTTTGGTGATTTCCCAATTAACATGTTTTGCTCATTTTAACTCCTCATTGGTGTTTAAAATCATCAATCACGAATTTAATGTTCAATTAGTTGTTCAATGAAACTCACTTCGCTTCATTTAAACAATTTATTTTATTAGAGATTTCACAATAACAAATGAACTCAAGAAAAAAAAACACATTTTTGCAAAATTTTGCTAACTGCGACTGTATATCAAAGTAAATGAATCGTTTCATCATGCAAAATTTCACTGATGCCTTACACATTTTTAACCGCTGCTGGGTTAACAATATATAGGATCCGCACCTTCCCCACTCACCATTACCTTCGTCTTACCAATTTTGACTTTCAACCCTTTCTTTTCAATAACACTTTTTGACTTTTCCATCTGTCAAATTTTAACTGCAATTCTTCCATTCTATCAGCCATCAAGACTAAATCATCTGCATACAAAATCTCAAATAACAATATTATCACAATACAATATGAATAACAACAAATTATCTATCAAATAGATAGGTAGATAGATAAATAGATTAAAAATTAAAATACTAATAGTAGATTAGATAGCAATAGAATAGATAGATTAGAAAAGATAATGTACTACATTCGGAAGGTAGTGGCAATGATAATAAGTTTTAAAGAATTGATAATTAGTGACAAAATATAAAAATAAAAACAGTAAAATAAACTCAAACCCTGAAAACTAGCCTAAAAATTTTAAATCCGGCGCTAGTTCCAAATGATAATTCAAAATATTAATTTAAAAGTGAATTTGATATTTATTTTTCAGGTCGAACTATTTGACTTCCTTGGATTTATTCGCTTATAAAACTGCATAGCTTTTAACCATGGATATATCCATGCTTTTAACAAACAGTATAAAATGAATAAAGATACTATTTTCAAAAATTTAAAAAATTCTCAATTTGATTTCATTGCAATATCGATGATGATGATTGTGACCTGAATGATTAAAAAAACATCAAATAAAATTTAATAAATAGGATGAGTAATTCGTTGCAAATGCTGATGTAACCCATGTTTGAGAGTGCGCTGAAAAATGAAACAACAATAAAGATAGAGAATCGCATTTTTAAGAAAACAAACAAGAAGCACAAACTTGAACGGCATTTAGTGAGAAGCCCCCCCGCCACGTCAAGGCAGCCGTTCATGAGGGGGTTAATAATAAAACGACAGTCTAGAAATAATAAGTAACGAAGGTCTAGAAATAATATACAACTTAACTAAAATATAACGAAAATAATATTGTGTTGATTGTTGTGTTTGATTGCTGTTGTTGATGTTGTGTTGAACAAAATACAAAACAAATAAACTAGAACGTAAGAAAGAAAGAATAGAGTCCCTAACTTATGTTCACTAAATTAACTCACCTACCTATGTTCAATTAGCTCAACTTACGAATTAATCCTACCTATTTGTACAATTACGAAGAGAGTAAGGAAAAGAGAATAAAACATCAAGCAAACAAAACAACGAATAAATGTTTGTATGTATGTATGTATGTGTGTGTGTGGGTGTATGTGTGGGTGTATGTATGACCGCGCAATAATAAAAACAATAAAATAAACGAACAAATCTAGAAATAATAAGTAACGAATAAAATAAACGTATAAATCTAGAAATAACAAGTAACGAATAAAATAAACGAACAAATCTAGTAATAATAAGTAACCAATGGTCTAGAAATAATAAACAACTTAACTAAACTTAACTAAAATATAACGAAAATAATATTGTGTTGATTGTTGTGTTTGATTGCTGCTGTTGGTGTTGTGTTGAACAAAAAACAATACAAAACAATACAATACAAATAAACTAGAACGTAAGAATGAAAGAATAGAGTCTCTAACTTACCTACGTTTACTAAATTAACTCACCTACCTATGTTCAATTAGCTCAACTTACGAATTAATCCTACCTATTTGTACAATTACGAAGAAAAAAGTAAAGAAAAGAGAATAAAACATCAAGCAAATAAAACAACGAATACATGTATGTATGTATGTATGTATGTATGTATGTATGTATGTATGTATGTATGTTGTTGTATGTATGTATGTGTGTATGTATGTTTGTGTGTATGTATGTATGTGTGTGTTTGTGTGTGTATGTATGCTCGCAATAATAATGACAATAAAAAAACGAACAAATCTAGAAATATTAAGTAACGAATAAAATAAACGAATAAATCTAGAAATAATAAGTAACGAATAAAATAAACGAACAAATCTAGTAATAATAAGTAACGAATGGTCTAGAAATAATAAACAACTTAACTAAACTTAACTAAAATATAACGAAAATAATATTGTGTTGATTGTTGTGTTTGATTGCTACTGTTGGTGTTGTGTTGAACAAAAAACAATACAAAACAATACAGTACAAATAAACTAGAACGTAAGAATGAAAGAATAGAGTCCCTAACTTACCTACGTTCACTAAATTAACTCACCTACCTATGTTCAATTAGCTCAACTTACGAATTAATGCTACCTATTTGTACAATTACGAAGAAAAAAGTAAAGAAAAGAGAATAAAACATCAAGCAAATAAAACAACGAATACATGTATGTATGTATGTATGTATGTATGTATGTATGTATGTATGTATGTATGTATGTATGTATGTATGTGTGTATGTATGTATGTGTATGTTTGTGTGTGTATGTATGCTCGCAATAATAATGACAATAAAAAAACGAACAAATCTAGAAATATTAAGTAACGAATAAAATAAACGAATAAATCTAGAAATAATAAGTAACGAATAAAATAAACGAACAAATCTAGTAATAATAAGTAACGAATGGTCTAGAAATAATAAACAACTTAACTAAACTTAACTAAAATATAACGAAAATAATATTGTGTTGATTGTTGTGTTTGATTGCTGCTGTTGGTGTTGTGTTGAACAAAAAACAATACAAAACAATACAATACAAATAAACTAGAACGTAAGAATGAAAGAATAGAGTCCCTAACTTACCTACGTTCACTAAATTAACTCACCTACCTATGTTCAATTAGCTCAACTTACGAATTAATCCTACCTATTTGTACAATTACGAAGAAAAAAGTAAAGAAAAGAGAATAAAAGATCTAGCAAACAAAAAAACGAATACATGTATGTATGTATGTGTGTGTGTTTGTGTGTGTGTGCGTGTATGTATGACCGCGCAATAATAATAACAATAAAATAAACGAACAAATCTAGAAATAATAAGTAACGAATAAAATAAACGAATAAATCTGGAAATAATAGTAACGAATAAAATAAATGAATGAATCTAGTAATAATAAGTAACGAATAAGGAAATAAAAAAAGGGACCAGGCGCTAAGGGAATGCCCTAAAGCGCCCGGTCGGATTTCAACGCATTTTCGGCTCCTATTTATACCAGTTCCATTCATATATTCTTATCATTTCAATCATTGACATCATTAAAAAACTTTATTTAATGTATAGAAAACATTGTTATATGTGTTTAACAACAATATGTTAACTATACTAAAATGAATTCCATGACCGCCTACGAACTTCCTGATGGGAAGGTTCGAGTGTGTGTATACGTTTAGATAGTTGAATTCAAATTTAATCGAGATCACTCCTTTTTTACATAAAAATGTAAAAATGTATATCTTTTAGTTCATTTCCTTTATATATTATACATACAATCAATTCAATCATTAACATCTGTAAAAATTTTATTGTTTCAATGTTATTGATTTTTGATTTTATGTAATGCACTAATATACATTCTTGACAACAGAGCTACTCAAACTTCGAAACATTCTGATTGATTGACTGGTTGGAACTGCTTTAATTCTTTTTAGGTAAACATATAATTTTGGTAATTATTTGTATACATAAATTCTAAATTTTTTATATATATATTTTATATAACTTCATTATAAAACCAACAGAAATCAATGTTACATGTGTATGTACATATGTATGTACGCGCGCAGTTCAAATCAAATTATTCCGAAAGAATTCAAAATAATTTGACTCCACACACCTTACTTCACATTAATTGTAAAATTTAAATGTATAAATATATATATATATTTAATAACTACACATAGATATCTATTTATAGGAATCGAATACAATGTTTATTCCGGCTAATTCACTAACGTACTGTGAAACTATTTTCAAAATGACGTCATTTCCCCAAACGGTTTCGTTCCGAATTACCAATCCCGTTTCAATAATACTTATCTTTCAATAAATCTTAAAAACAAAGTGATTTAATAAAATTTAAAAAACTTCCTTCCATATGTTGGTTGATCGTACGATCATCATGTACGTGCTTATGTAGCTTATGTATGTGTGTATGTGCGCGTGCGTGTGCGTGCAAGTATAAGTAATGTAAGTAGGTGTAATTGTACGAACTCGTTGAATAAGTATTATTATTGCATGGCTACTGACCTTTTTACTATTGC